CTCTCTCTCTCTCTCTCTCTCTCTCTCTCTCTCTCTCTCTCTCTCTCTCATATGTGTGTTTACAAGTGACATTGCATATGTGGAGGTCAGGGGCAACCTCAAGTATCTGTCCTCACCTTCTACCTGGCTTGAGACAGGGTCTAATTGCCACCACATAAACCAGGCTAGCTGGCTCATTAGTGTCCATGGATTCCTCTCTCCCTCCCCCCCCATCTCTCTCTCTCTCCCTCAAGCCTCATCGTGGGAGTGCTGGGATCACAGATGCACTCAGTACCACAAGCTGCCTTCATGTGTGTTGTGGGGATCTGAACTCACATCCTCAACTTTGCATGGCAAACAGTTGCCCTGCTGAGTCATCTCCCCAGGCAAGCTGCACACTGTTATCTTTGCACCTTTCTGGTACCTGGCATATATTTGGGCCACAAAGAACGAATTAATCAGTGCATGCTGAGCCAGAGGTTTCTTAACAGGGAGCCTTTCCTAAGATGACACAGCACTAAGCAGCAAGCCTTCTCCCAGCCGGATTCTAGGTGAATGTCATAGAGCAGTATGCTGCACTCACTGGTGGTGGGGAACCCCTCAGTCTACTGCATGTATGAAATAGTTCAGGCAGGAAACACCACACAAATGGGCCCATATTGTCCTTCCTGGGCTTACTTTGGCAGGTGGGCATAGACTCTCCCAGACTCCATCTACCATTGGCCTGGCAGCGGATGACCCTTTGGCCAGTGTAGTAGTAGCCAGGGTCACAGATGAGCATCAGCTGGGCCTGGAACTGATACTGCGTCTCAAAGATGAGCCTCCACCGGCCGTGTTCCACACTGATGCTGCTGATATCAGGACAGGTCACAGCTGGGGAAGCAAGGAGCAGGGAGGAGAATTAGCTAACGGAGTATGGAAGGCATCCCAAGAGTCTAGAACAAGGGATTGAGGACACTCAGTGTAGTAATGATGAATTGAGGAACATTCGGGTCCTAGGTAGGTTTGATCGATGAGGAGGAGTGTGAGTGGGGGAGTCCAGATCTGTAAAAGAAAGTAGTGAGACTTGTGTTTCGCTGCCTTAGTACTGGCTGTGTGTGCAACGTTCTATTTGGTCAGTTTTTAAAACCGTTTCCCCCTGTTTCTCTTTTGGATGATTCTCAAATAGCCAAGGCTAAGGGTAGCTTTGAAATTATGATCCTCTTGTCTTCACATCTGGGGTGACAAGATTACTGACAATCTCCGCCCATGGTTTATGCTGGGGAAGCACTCTATTAATTGAGGTACATCCCTAGCTGGAAAAGCCAGAAATATGGATATTCATTTAAATTTTCTTGATTGTAAAATGGTAAGAAGTAATATGTGTGTGTGTATGTACATTTTTAATGGGGCAAACAAAATCCAAATTTGTATCATTGGACTAAATATGGCTCAGTGGGCTGCCTATTTATCATTTGATTCCCCAAATTATCACATCAGGGGACTGTGATCATGCAGCTTTCTGGTCATTCCAAGCGCTGTGGTAGCTTATGAAAACACCCCAGAGCATGATGGTCCTTCAGTGTTCCGAGTAAGTTGCAATGGGGACCACGGTTGATAGATGCCCACCCTCGTCCTCCCTGGGTCTCCTACCTCCCCCCTCCACCATGCAGGCTCTCTGTTCTCTACTGAACTTGAAGCCCACTCCATACAGGAGTCTTTTCAGCTGCATTCCCAGCTCCTCCTGCCACCGCCCCCACCTCCCTCGGACTCACGGACACACTGTGGGGGGACATTGCCGTTGCTCCACAGGCCAGTGTCCAGACACTCTGCGGTGGCCTCAGCACCCGTCTGGAGGTGGTAGCCTTCATTGCAGCTGTACACAGCCTTAGTCCCCACAGTGTACTCCTTGCCAAACACGATTCCATTTTTGGGAGCATCAGGGAGACCACAGGAAAGAGCTGGCAAAGGAGAAAGGATGTCATGAGCATTTCTGACTCAAGATGTTCTGAGCATATATTTCCATCTTTCCCATTTAAGGGCCTTAAAATTTATAGTAGAAACTAAGAGACATAAAAGGGAAAGACAATAGAAGAGTTGCCGTCAGGGATATCAGCAAAGAGTGCATCAGAGGGTAGGGTGGAGAATGATATATGTTTGCTCACAGATTAAATGTAGGGACAGGGCTGCAGCTCAAGACTTACAGGGAAGAGCCGAGAGCTCAGACTTCCTTCTGCTCTGCCCCACAGGTGAGTGTCAACGCACTCAAGCCTCTGAGAAGAACCAAGTGTCCCCTCTTCCTTAGGGTGTGGGGACAGAATCCCTCCAGAGAGTCAGGAATGACAAGGTGGGGGTTAGCATTCCAAGGGATGCTCCTCTTAATAAAAATTCTTACTGCGTTTTTATTTAATTAATGTGTGTGTGTATGCGCATGTGTGCGTGCTTGCGAGCACACTTGCTCACGTGCATGCACACTTGCATGCATGGGAATGTCAGAGGAAAGCTTGCAGGATTTGATTCTCTTCCTCTATCATATGGATCAAGTGGGTTAAACTCAGCTTGTCTGGCTCAGTGGCAAATGTCTGTATCCATGAAGCCATCTCAGTGTCCCATAGAATTATGGGTATCTCCATGTGATAGGTGTCCATTCATCCCTGCTGTACACCCGGATCCAGATTTTACTCATGGGAGGAAGCTCACTGGCAAAGGGAGTTACACAAAATAATGGAGCTCATCCAACTGCTTCTTGGCTTTTACTTTTGAATACAATCAAATGTTACTACACAGTGGAAGAAAACCAGCAGTGTCGATGTGCTCAACATTAGACCAAACATATGGGGGGTGGGGAGCATGGAAAACACTGTTCAGAATCAGAGCTAACTCAGAAAATGGGAGCTGTGGGATGATGGAACTCAGCAATCCACAGCATCTTGAGAAGTGGCATGTGACATTCATGAAACACCAATGGAGCTCTCTCAAGGAAGGCATCTCAAGGAAGGGCTCCTTCAAACTGTCAAAACAGATATTAAGTAAAGATCAAAAATAACAAATTTCCCAGAATAAAGACCCAAAAGACAGACTGAAAACAAGAGAAAAGGACTAAAATGGAAAGATCCGTCTGGGAGATCCAACATCCAGCTATTCAGAGCTCCGGAAAGAGAGAGCAGAGAGTGGGTGGGTTAACGGGATTATCCTACGTGAACATTTCCGGAAGCTGAAGAAAGAAACAAAGGGGGCACAAGGGAGCCATTGAGGGGTAGGGAGAAGCTGAGTGAAGAGTGGGAATCAGCCTGACCTCAGACTTCCCATCGCCCGTATCAGGAATCCAAAGAAAACTGAATAAAGCCTTTAGACTAGTGGACCAAATTATTCATAACCTAGAATTTAATTTAAGCTAGTCACCCTAATAAGCACATCAGGGCAAGACTGCCACATCTAGAGACTCAGAACGTTCTCTTCTCAACGTTCTCTTCTCACGGATCCTAGATGAGAAGTTTACTTGAGGGTATTTTACTTGAGGGTCTTCTCCACCAAAACCAACATGAAAACCAAGAAATTGCAAAACATGACATTTATATGGAAAACAAAGGGCTTCAAATAAATGGAGCGTCCAGGTGGTGCTGCCTCGGACACGTGCAGCGGCATGGCTGTGATTTGATATATTGTTGGGGTGATATGCAGGAAGAAAGAGAAATGAGTTTGAATAGTCACTACCACCTTAAACCGCTGTCCTGACGGCCACGAGTCTAGAGCTCAGGTCTCCTTCCTTCGGATCCAGATAAGCTGTGGCAGAGGACAAGCCCATGATGGCAGCCAGCAATGATGCCTGACTCTGCTAAGTTTTCCAGAACTTCCAGAGACTCTGTACTAGGACCCATTTCTAGTCTGGAAGCATATTACTGTTTTACTTTCATGTGTATGTGTGTTCAGGTGTACGTGTGTGTAGGGGCTTGTGGACGCCAGAGGACAGCCTTAACTCTTGTTCCTCAGGTACCATCCTACATTTTCAAGGTGGCATCTTTCTTCTGCCTGGGGCTCCCCAGGGAGGTCAGGCTGTAGCCTCGGAGATCCTCCTGCCTCTGCCTCCATAGTGACAAGATCACAAGCGCATGCTTGTTTATACCCCTGGGCTTACTGATTTGGATTTTTCAAGAGCAAACTCAGATTCCAAGCTTGCAAGGCAAATACTTTACTGACTGGGCCATCACTCCAGCCCCTGTGACTTCACTTTTTTATTGTTTATTGAATTATACGAAGCAAGATATTTCATCATGACAGGAACATATGTCCTTATAAGGGGGAAACACTCAGAAATTCTAAGAGGTGATGCGTGGGAACTGGATGGGACATTTCAGGGGTCTGCTTGACTTATTTGCTTTAGGAGCCAGACCCCCATGTCCTCCCGCCTAGGAGTTCTTAGTTGCTAGGAAGAGGCAGGTCCCTTCTTACCATGGGGTTCCTAACACCTCAATATAGAACTTCCTTTTCTGGTCACTTCCTGTCTCATATCACCATCTCTCCTGTGGTGCTGGAAACAGAGCCCACTATGCATCCATCATCCCCAGAGGTGGAGATGTATAGACCCTCAGTAAATGTTTGCTGAAGGAATGCTCTATCACCAAACCCTGGGAGACTCACACGTGGCCTGGACTGTTCCTGAGACAAGCCCAAGATGACTGAGCTGAGCCACATAGTGGCTGCTTCAATCCCCGCTGCTCACCTTGACAGAGAGGAATGGCCTCACTCCATAGGTGGTAGCCTTGGGGGTGCCGGGTACAGATGGCCATGCTGTGTCCCACCAAACGGTAGCCTGTGTTGCAGCCAAAGTGGATGGAGCCACCTGGCTGGGTGGTTGTCTGGCCCAGGATGAAGCCATGGAGTGGAGCCTTAGGCAGGCTGCAGTAGGGAGCTGAGGAAGGAGAGGAGGCTCAGTGGAGGAGTGTCCATGTTCTACTGCTGGAGCAAGCCCGCTGTCCCCTCCCAGGCCTGCTTCCCCCAACCCCCATCTTATTTCTTCTCCCATTGACAAGTTCTTTGCTATTTAGGAAGGTCTGAGTGGTTGACACTGAACACCAGTTAGGTAAAGCCAGAACAAGATCAAACAAAACAAATCAAAACAAATGGTAATTGAAAACTACAACAGCAACCTGCTCTGGGAGTCATGATGTCCCCTCTGCTGCTTGAGCACAGCCCAGGCTGCTTTCAAAGCCCTTGCAACTACAGGTAACCTTGTAAAGCAGGGCCTGGTGGGACAGGTTTCCTAAGCATGTGACACCACCAGGCATCAGCTTTTGTGACTTAGGACAAATCACTGAAGCTTGTTTAGTTCCAATTTCCTCCTTACAGTAGGTGCTCCCCTCCCTCATAGGTGCTCCCCTCCCTCATAGATGCTC